TCACCTGGCAGGAGTCCGATCATCCAGACTCGATTCAGGAGAGGGAGCAGAAGTGAAGATGAAACCTTCATACGCCACCTTGAATCACGCTTCAATAATCCGCTCAATGGTGGGTGCCTTAGTGGTGTAGGTAACTCCCTCCGCGTCACAGATAGCCTTGAGCTGATCTTTCTTCATCGGTGTTAGCATCCTCCTTTGCTCCACCAAGTAAGCCAACACTCCCTCAGGGCCACTCCCCATCGGGATCTTGGTGCGTCCTCTGGCTTCCCCCATCCTGGAAGATTCCCACCTAGCAGGAGGATCATTGATCGCCCCAGGCTCCCGATCGAAAACCGGTTGCTGGAATTGACGTCGCGGAACGGATCCAACAGGATCCTTACCTTTTTGTTTCTTCTCTCGCAGATCATATAACTTCACAATCTCGTCTTCAATATCCTCAATACCCTTGTCCGAATAATCCGTTTCCTTGAACACTAGCTGCTGGGAACGGACCGTAGGCGTCCGCACCTCCTGGAACCTCGCCTCTTCCCTCCTCGCCTCATCTCTGGCTGCTAAATACTGTCTGCCTATCTTAGACTTAACTCGTGCTTCGAGTGTCTCCGAATTCCTCTCCATCTCTGCTCTAATTAGCTCATTCATCTTTCTTCTCGCCTCCAATTCTCTTTTTCAATTCTGCTCCTCGCGTTTCTCTTGGATCAATTGCCTCAGAAACTCCCTTTCCTCAGCGTCTTCCTGGTTCCGCCTAGGTGTCCAATACCTAGGTGTGGTTGCTGCTGAGTTTCCAGTAATGGTGTTTCCCTGCGGTGTTCGCTGCGAAGGACATTCCCTTGCGAAATGTCCCTCACCCCCACAATTGAAGCACTTGCCATTACTGCCACCCGTGGCCATATCGAACCAACAAGAATACTCAACTGAAGGGTACGTGCTGATCGAGAGAAATAGGGAGGAAGGAGAAAAGGAGAAGTGGAATAATAAGAAGAAGAAGATGAAGAAGAAAAGCTCGAAATACATACGCATTAAAACCCAGACCTAATTCTGCCTAACCAAAAACTTGATGGAACGCGTCACCTCATCGTACACAATCACTATCCTAACCAGCACGTCCGCCTCCTCAAACCAAAAAGCAAGTTTAAGCAAGACCCTATCCATATCTAATCGATCGAAGACGCGGCCACCACCTTATGTACAATCGCACAAGAGGTTGTCACGCTAATCAAGAGGAAAGACTGTCCGGCAAAGACAGCATCAGCATGAGAACGGGAAGATGAAGATACACCCAGAAAATCACACCGTTGCGCACGCAAATGTATGGAACAAACTTCCGGAGAAGTATCACATAATTGTACCAAAAACAACGCGGTCACCCTCGACGCGTTTCGTCCACCCCGCACGCAGACTCTTCAGGAGGTAATCAAGTATGTACCCCATACCAATCATAGAGGCCATTCCTAATGCCTTGCCTCT